TAATAATGACCTTTCTTGTTCTGACGTTCAGAATCCGGACGTTCCGATTGAAAACACGACGGACTGTTTGAGCACGATGGCCTGCGTCTGCAAAGTGATGTTGGAAACTCCGTGAGTCCCTGAACTCATCATTTGGATCTGCAGCCTGTTTATAAACCATCAACATTACCTGTTTGTTTGTTTGTTTGTTTGTTTGTTTGTTTGTTTGTTTGTTTACAGGGAGTACCGCAGTCGTTTCACCAGCGAGGAGACGGTGTTGTTCTGCCTGCGGGTGATGGTCGGTGTCATCATCCTGTATGACCACGTCCACCCGGCCGGCGCCTTCGTTAAGACCTCCAACATCGACGTACGTTAACGAGCACAAACACTCMCCTCACTGTGCAGAAGTCTTCAGCCGCCTCTCTAACCTTCCTGTTGTTTAACTGATCACCACTGAAGGCGTTTGTCTGTTAGCAAAATATCTGTACTTTGATGTTTTCCAGATGAAAGGCTGCATCAGAGTCCTGAAGGAGCAGCAGCCCAGCAGTGTGGAGGGTTTACTCAACGCTCTCAGGTATGTAAACAACAACAACAAATAGGACAAAAACAAACAAAAACAAGCTGTTCTTGACAAGCCCCTCCCCCTGCAGGTACACCACCAAACATCTGAACGACGAGACTACCTCCAAGCAGATCAAAGCTATGCTGCAGCCAAATTAAAGGGGCGGAGCCGAGTTCTGGTCCAGATTTCAGAAGAACTACTGAACAAACGCGTCATGATTGTTTTTATTTGTTGTTGTTGTTGTGGAAAGATGTTAAAGTTGTTGTTTAAAAGTGTTTGTTGATCCTGAAAGGTTGAGTTGAATCAGCTGGACCTTATTGGTTCAGGTCCAGTTGAAGTGAACGGGTCAGGATCAGAACTTCCTGTTTGACTGAAAACCTTCTGATCAGATTCACCTGAAACATTTCCGACTCATCGACCTGTTGTTGACTGACTGATCCTCCTGCTCTAAAGTCTGCAGAGTGAAAAACTGCAGTGATTTTAGTTTGATTCTCCACACATCAGATCAGCTGCAGCCTGCAGGAAACGTTCAAATCATCAAAAATCAGATTTTATCACAGCTCTGAGTTTTTAATGTTTTATTAAAAGTGTTGAATCTCTCAGAAAATGTTTGTTTCCAACCATTTCACAAGTTTGTCATGAAGATTCTGAGTTGTATGTTCTTCCTCTT